CAAATAAACCAATTAATGAAAAGAATGGAATGATGAAACAATTAGTTGTATTAAGAAAACAAGCTGCTGAAATTCGTAGAGCTTTAGCTGAACAAATTCGTTCAATTAGAAAAATTAGAAGAACCCAAAGAAAGAGATTAAGAAGACAAAGAAGAGTTGCAGGAAAAACTGTCAGAAGACATTTAAGACAATTGATGAAAGATTTAAGAAGACAATACAGAAATAAACCAAGAGAATTCTATCAACAATTTAAAAGTCAATCAAGAAAAGTTTTTAATATAAGAAAGTGTCAAAAATTCCACAAACTTTGCAAAAAGATAGTCAGAAGATTTAATCACAAAGCCAGAAGAGTTCAATCTAAATTAGAACGTATTATTCAATTAAGAAAACACATATCTACTGTTGCTAATAAGAAAGTTTCTAAAGCAGTAAAATCTAGTTTATATCACTTCGAAAAACATTACAAATCAATGGATAAGAATCACGCCATGATTAAGAATGCATTCGTGCAAACAAAATGCAAATAAATTGATTTGTTGTTTTGATATTATTGTTATATAAAACATTATAAGAAAAGGAAATAAATTAAAAGAGAAGAAAATCGATAAAACTAAAAATATTATTTTTAAATTAACTCAAGTCATTATGAAAACACCAAATAAAGAGCCTCATATTTACATTAGTTAATTTATCTCATTAAGGAATAACAAAAATAATTTTAAGTTTAGCTCAATAACAGACATGAGTAATAAAGTTATATTATATTGCCAACTAAAAATTATAGTCATTGAATTTAGTCAAATTTACTTATTACTGTTAACTATCTTTACAAGTACTATTAATTTTTATATTAAAAAAATATTGTTATGGTAATGAGAATTTTATTATTTCATTAAAATAAAAATAGAAGTTTGTATTAAGTAATAATTAATTGACACTTAATTAGTTACTACTTCATTTAGTATTCTTGTTAAATTCAAAAAATGGGTCGTCTTCAAATAGTGCTTGTCTTTGATTATATAATTCTCTTAAATGGGCCCTTCCATTAACACGTTTTTTTTTAGCACTTTGTTTTTTTGCTTTAGGGGTATTAAATCTAACTTTACCAATATTGGACCGAAGGCCATACATCACTTCTCCTATTATTACTCAAAACTGAGAAAAATAAGATTTACATTCTTTGAAATAAAAAATAGATGATGAGGTTTGATTAAAACTAAAAATAATTTATTATATTTTTATTATAAATTATAATTTTTATATTTTTATTGTTATTTTATTAATAGAATATTTTTTTTTATATTATTTATTTTGTTGTTTGTTATTTTGAATGATATTGAATTATTTCATTTTCATGTTTTAATTATCTAATAAAAAACCTATTGTTCTAAACAATCATTTATTAGTTTAATATTAAATTTGTCATTCAATTAATTATATTTATTTAATTTCTATTTATTACTCATTCATTGATAAGTTATTTAATGTAATTTTTGTTCATTTAATTTGTTGGTTGTTCAATTATTTATATAATGAATGAATTATTGTTTTAATTACCTTTAATATTCAATATAAAAACATTAAAATATATTAAATATTATTAAAAGAGATGAAGATAAATAAAACATTGTAATTGAAAAATAAATAAAGAAATTGATTTTGATTTATTAAATTAAATAAATGAATATGTTAATTCTAATTTATCATTTAATTCATTATTAATAAATGAATTATTAGATATAAAACAAGATGTATAACATCATTAATAATTGATTTGATTATCATTGAAGTTAATTTCTTATTTTATATATTATATTATTAAAACAAATGATATACAGTGAATATCAAATATAATGATTTTATTAATATTTAATTGTTTTATCATCACGTTATAATGATATTCAATTAAAATTAGTATTTAATGTTAATAAAATAGAATTAAATATGTGAAATGATAAGAAATCAATAAATTATATTTATATGAAAATATAGAATATACAACACAATACTCATCTTGTTCAATAATTTGATTTAGTATCATTTAATCATTTAAAAATAAAACAAGATAAATATTATCAATTTAATTAATGAAATATAATCTCTTCAATTAGTTCAAAATATAAATCATTTTAAATATGAAATATATCAAATACATTTGAATATGATTAAAATTTTGATGTATGATTTATTGATACATTTATCAAATCATTTGTTACATTTCATTTGAATGATTAATGAACAAGAAGAAAATAAAGAGAATCAATAACTAATCATATGAAAAACAAACATCATGAAAACAATAAATTCAAATATTATTCCTATTAAATAAT